GAGAGAGAGAGAGGTTATCATGAGGTTATTCTCGAATTGGGAATAAAACCTTATGACAGTTTTTCTGGTTTTATCACCAAACATATACAACATTAGGGCATGCTACGAATATGAAGGAAAACATGTTTATTTTTTAGGTCAATTTTTCATTTGTTCTAGTCAAATTCTAGTGGTATACATTTTTTTTTATTTTTATTGTATAGATTTTTTGTGGTAAGGTTATTGTTTTGCCCCAAATGTATTCCTATGAGAATGATAAAGGCAAGAATAGAAAGATGACAAAACAAAATAACTTCAACCAAAACAAGAGCATAAGGATACAAATAGGAAAATGAGTCCAAATTTTATTAGAACATGAATTGGGGTTCGGGAAGAGTTCCAGATTTCTAGATGATCATCAAAGTTCAGTTACAGAGAACACCCTAGATAAACTAGCTCGACAAGAAAGAAAGAGATGATATATATATATATATATGCATGGGCCAATTTAGTGTTTGAGGACCCTTCTCATGAAATATGGAAAGAGTAGATTGTCACTGTGGCCAATCCAGAGTAGAAGTTTCACTCTTTTTCCTTACTGTAACTGGACACTTGTCGCAATGATGTAAGACTCAAGAGTGATCCTCCTCCCCTAGCCCTACTGTCCGAAGTTCTTTACATAACCATTTTTGGGCAGGAAGATTTGTTGTAACCTGATCTTTTCTAGCTTTGAGTAGATGACACTTTCCCTTTTATCTGGTCAACGCCATCCCAGTGTTTCAAAAAGCGTTAGGCGATCTTAGGTGGCCTTGGGGGGTCCAGTTCACTTATAGCCTAGGCTCTATAGTAGAAACAAAAAAGGGCTCTATAGTCTCTAATAATATAAATATAACTGTATATTGTATATAATATAACAATTAGTTATTTAGGGCTGTTTGAACACATTTTTCAGCACCTTGGTCCCTGATGCAGAAAAAAGAGGAAGCCGGTCAATAAAGCTTGACAAAATAGTGGAAATTAAAACAGTCTCAGAATGGTCCCAGAATTGGTCAAGATCTTCATAAGAACTCCAAAAGGTCACCTGCCAAGTTTTGTCGCAATTCAACATGTCTAAGGCATTGGACACAAAGAAACAATTTTAGAAAAATCGGCCTCTAGCACACTGAAACGGACCCTGTAACTAGAACTTTTGGTGCATCAAATTGCTGTGGGACCACCGCCATTTGATCCGGCACGGTCGAAAACCCGTATGGGTCAAGTTTCGGCTTAATCGGGCGCTCCAAGACAAAGTTATGAGTAAAATACTGAGAAGAAGTAGGCCTCACACTAATTCCCGTGCGGCCTCACTGCACTAAATCACCATTAATGGTGACTATTTTCACAATTTCGGACAGTGACTTCAAAAACACATATCTCACTCGTTTCGAGTCAGATCGCGCTCAAATTTTGTAAGTGTGTTCGTTTTGTTGAGACGAGCGTTTCGATATATGGCACGCCCCGTGATGACACCTAAGCAAGGAGAAAAGCTAGAGAGAAATTGCTGATCCGTAAAGAAAGATGCAGGAAAATCAGTAGCGACACGCCTCGCTCGAGCGGCCAAATCACGGTGTTTGCGCATCAGATTGATGCGAGAGCAGTTCCATCGTGCGCGTAAGGTCTTCGGTTCAAACCCCCCTATATAATGAACGGTCGAATTTCGCACACCAGGTTGCTAAAGTGACTGTAAATTCCGGTCGCCGGATTTTAGAGTCCGGCCAAACCCAAAAGTTGCGAAATCTTCATTCGGGCTCCAAATCGTGTCCGGTTAATTGCCATGCGTTCGTGACGGCATGCTCAGTGCACTACGACGAAGAAATCATGGAAAAACCTCAAGGATCGAGCGTGCTATTGATCCAAAATTTTCAAGATTCATCCAAATTTCAAGTCGCATGATCGTGGCTTAAAAACACGATTCATGGCTCGAACTTAGTATCAAATCGATCGTCATGTCGAGCCCTCCAAGAAAACAATCATCTTTCGATAAAACAGGCATCAGAGCAACCTTGGATCAGTCATGGAAGATCACGCAAGTTCTTCGGGCAGCAGCAAGGACCGTTTTGAAATTTTACATATTGTTAGACAGGGGCAAAATAGTCCTTTTGTACCTATTTTTAGAATATCTTTAATTTAATTAAATTGTAATTATCTTCAATTTAGGTAGTTTTTGGGCATCCACCCATGTTTAGGCCCAAGTTTATATAAACATGCTAAACCTAATTGTAAAGGGACCTTTGTGGGTACGTCTTGGAGAGAGAGAGAGGAGAGAGAAGAAAAGAGCCGATACCCTTGATAAAGTGATTTTCTTTCTCCTCTTTTCTCTCTCATCTCTCATTTCTCTTATCTCTTTCTCTTATATTTCTCTTTTCTCTTTCTCTCTCTCTTCCTTCTCATGATTGAGATGATGGTTCGAGCCCCTCCCAAGCGATGGGCCCCGTAGTCCACACAAGTGGTAGGGCCAGCCATCACCTTTGCCTTCCTCATCTCTCTCCTCTCTCTTTCTCTCTCCTCTTTCACAGACGGCAGACCCCCATTGCCATCAGTGTTTTTCTCCTTCTCTTCTTTCATATTTCCTTCCCTTGTGGTCTCGCATGACCACGACCCTCCTCATCTCTCGTCCCTGTGGTCCCATTGCCGTCTGTGTTTTTCTCCTTCTCTTCTTTCATATTTCGTTCCCTTGTGGTCTCGCATGACCACGACCCTCCTCATCTCTCGTCCCTATGGTCCCTCAGGACCGCAACTTTCTCCTCTCCTTCATTGTGGTCTAGCAAGACCACAATTCCCCCTCTTTTCTCATTCTTTTATCCCCTGCAAGTCCACCAGCTCCATGTGCACTCTCGGGTCTACCTCCTCTATCATTTCCTGGTTGTCCCTCACGTTTACCTCCCTTTCTCTTCTTTTTCTGTGATCCTTCATATTACCCCTCTTGGTGCACCTTCGCGTCCCTTCTTTCCCTCTTATGTTCCATGGTCCTGCGTGACCACCATTTCTAAAAACTCTTTACCTCAGCGCCATATGTGCAAAACATACCTTAGCATCGCCTGTGCAAAATATAACCTAGCGCCGTTTGTGCAATTTTCTTCCCATTGCCGCCCGTGTTAACCAAAACCTATTGCCGCCCGTGTTAACCAAAATCTATTGCCGCCTGTGAAAACTCAATCCTATTGCCATCTCACCTCACCCCACTTCATTCTCTTCCATGTTTTGTCTTATTATCCAACACACTTCTCTTTCATTTATATAAAATCCAATGATTCCCTTTTTTAATACTATTTTATGTTACCCTCTTTCAAGTATCAAATCCTCCCTCTCTTCCTCTTAACCAAATCATTACCCTTGTTTTTATTATTATTATACTTCCTTCAGCCCATTCCAATAACCAATCTATTTGTTTATTTTATTCTATTAAAACATTTTCTCTCTCCTAACTTACTAATTTACTAGTCTTATTTTATTAGAACATCCTTCTCTCTCTCTTAACAACTTTATCCATTTCTTTCATCTCACATTATCCTCTTTCATACACGTAAAACTCAATACCCTTCCCTCTTTCTCTATCATCCATTAACCCAAGAAAAATCTCTCTTTAAATTTTAAAAACCCATTACGCAACACAAAACGTTATCTCTCTTTATTCATATAATACCCAAATAGTTTAATAGTAAACCTTCCCTCTTCCTTTATTAATTTACCGTTTTTTTTTTTTATTTTATTTTTTCCTTAATCTCATCTATCCCATCATCTTTGTTTATTTTGTTACGTTTGTATATTCATTTTATTTTATTTTTCCTCATCATAGGTGCCTTGATCTTGCCCTCCGGGTCGGGTTGACCTGTTGACGTGGTTCCGGGTTCGAGATGGACTCGGGACCTGAGATTGCTCTCTCGGGAACCACGT